GGCTGTTCTGACTCACAGACTGTAAGTACGTTTTTTATATTTAAAGAATTTGCCACTGACGATTCAAACGCGAGTTTTGAGCAGTGTAGAGTAGCACTTGTTGTTTGTCACTTCTCCGATCACAAATGCAGACATGGTTTTATGTTTACGCGGTGCGATGCAACGCAACGCGTAAAAAGACAGTATAAGTCATTGTAATCCGTAATTATGTCCCCACTGGATGCAACAAATGCCTCGTTTATAATGGGTTTTAATGTTTTTGTCTCGTCGCTCCGGCCGGGACACGGCATCACAATATGGTAAGGGGCGTAACATTTCCGTCACACGCTTGAGGTATTCGGCCAATCACAACACACTGGATAGCTGGCCAATCAGGGCACACCTCGCTTTTCAGACAGGCGGGGCATAGAGGAGAAACAATAATGTACAGTATGTGGAAAATAATGTGTTTTTTGAACCTTAAACTGCATAAACACATTTCATTACACCAAATGCACAAAATAATGTTCTTTTTAGCAACATCATATGACCCCTTTAATTATAATGCTAAAATATGATTTAATTGTGTAAGGAAAGAAATGTGTTTTCTTTTGTTTGGTGTTTTAATTAAAGTGATCCATTTTTGCAAGCAAAGCAATATCTTCCAAAAAAGCAATTACTTAGCGGCACGCCTTAAGGTTGTGGAGGTGACTATGGAAAACTTGTTTTCATAAAGAAGACATTAAGATAAAATGATGGACATCATTCAGTACTGCCAAATGTAGTTTTCAGAATCTGATTCAATTGCAATTCTGAGTGTTTTAGCATTAGACTTAAGTGCACAAAGCTTGAGAAGAAATTTTGAGTTAGCATCTCACCCATGATTGAACCCTTCAATTAAACAGATTTTTTGTTAATTATCTTAATGAATTACAAGGTTCAGACCAGTAAATAAATAAAATGTAGCGCTGAAGATCTTTTAAATAATTTTTTTTAGTCTTTTTGCCGTAATTAGTGCAAAGTGCAGCACAAACAGGAAAATAAGGGTGTGACAAAGAGAAACAGCCAACTTAAAACTCATTGACCTCAGCTGTATAAGGCTCTAGGCACAGGAACCTGGTTTACCAGTTCATGGACATAACTCACAAGTTTCTATTTTGAGAATGTAACCTTTCAAAATATGTTGAAATCCCTTCTCACTAAGTCACTAGGTCAAACCACAGGTGTCAATATTTAAATACAATCAAAGCTCATGGAAATTTCTCCAATCTCACACACCCACATACTCAGCTCGGGTGCTAAAGGCAAGTGGAGTGAATGAAGACATCCATTCATTCATGCATTTGCTTATTTTCCATATTGTTGGCTGATTCTTTGTCTGTTTGAAACACATGTAGAAGATGTTTTCTGTGCACACAATCTCACCTGTGCTGAGCAGCAACAGGACCTTCATGGCGAGGAACTCCTCGTAAGTTAGCTGCAGACGGACAAACTCCTGGCTCACCTGCCGCATGCCCACACACAGATCGTACATGGCTGACTGCTGCATACGTTCCCTGGTGGAGAAATTGAGAGGATCTGTAGTAAACAACTTCATTTTTGTTGAATCAAAAATTGCTGTGGAAATAGTTAAAAGAATATTGAAACAATCAAAAGGTACTTGAGGCACCATTTGGGGTTTATTAGATTACCACATTGGCAGAGCCGTTTGGAGAACATCTACAGTCCAGAATTAACCCTCATCTACTGCCAAATTCAAGTAAAAATAGGCTTGGGCATATAAATGAAAAATAAATAAAACTTGCCAAATAGCCAGTAACTTTATTAGGAACTGTAACATTATTTGTGTAACTACATAAGCGATTTAACTATTAATGAAAACAAAAATAAACACTCGGTCAAAGGATTGGAATCATTATGATGTTTTTTTTTTTATGTTTTTGACTTCTTTTGAAAGAAGTCTCATGCTCACCAAGGCTGCATTTATTTGGTCAAAAATAGAGTAAAAACAGTAATATTGTGAAGTATTATTACAATTTAAAATAACAGTTTTCTGTTTGAATATATTTTCAAATGCAATATATTTATGTGATGGCAAAGCCGAATTAGACACATAACATAAGGACACATTAAATAACAAAAGTATTATAATTGTTACAAAATATTTCTGTTTCAAACAAATACTGTTCTTTTGAACTTTCCATTGATCAAATTATCCTGAAAAAATATGAACTGTTTTCAACGATTCATATTCGAATGTTTTCTGAAGAATCATGTGACACTGAAGACTAGAGTAATGATGCTGAAAATACAGTTTTGACATCACAGGATTAAATTACACTTTAAAATATTATTAAACTAATAATATAATTATTATTATAATTTTATTTTATACAAATACTTCTATATATTTTTTTGTTGCGATTACAATCATTTATATATATTTTTATTACTAATAAAGTTTTCAAAGACAAACAAACATGCAACAAGAAGCTTTCCAAAAGTGCATGGCGCTAACAACACCAAGGTCATGGGTTTGATTCCCAGGGAATGCATAAACAGATAAAATGTACACCTTTTATACAATGTAAACGTCTTCCAAATGTGTACATGTAAACGTAATTAATTCTGGCTTTGTGTCGTAAAATAAAAAAGCCACTGTTCACAAATGTTTCAACAGATCTGGTGTGGACTTAAACCTGAATACACACAGACTCATGGGGACTCGTGTCACGGTGGGGACTTAAATTGAGGTCCCCACGGGTAAACAAGCTAATAAATCACACAGAGTTAAGTTTTTTGAAAATCTAAATATGCAGAAAGTTTCCTGTAAGGGGTAGGTTTAGGTGTAGGGAGATAGAAAATACAGTTTATACAGTATAAAAACCATTACACCTTATGGAGAGTCCCTACAAGGATACAACCCACAGCAGACAGTCTGAATGTGGGAATAGACTACAGACTAGCTGAATTTATAATTTATTTTTATAGTCAAGCTGTGTGTGTGTGTGTGTGTGTGTTTCTGAATACATGCATGCCTATCTGTCTTCCAAAGCGGTCTAACCTGCTGTCATTCTGTGCTCAGGTTTGTCTGCTTTTTGTCTGCCAGAACTGATTCTCTCTCCCGTTCTTCCAGTCTGACAGATCTTTATTTAATATCCCAACCTTCAATCTGTTTTCAGATGGAATGAGAAACGAGTTAAATTCCTCATCTCAGTACCTGTAAGAATGTCTGCCTTATAGTAGTGTTCTTACATTAGCTTTTCTAATTATTCTTTATATACAGTATATATATATATATATACACACACACACACACATTTACATTCTGTCATAAACAATAGATTTTATTGAGAAAGACAGAAGAAAATGGCATTTGTTATGGCTCGTCTTTCAGTTGCTATGGAGAGGTGTTTCTATATAAATTGTATTAGAGGTGTGAAAGTTAGAAGAACATGCACATACAGCAGTCTGTCAAAGATCACCCTCACCCATCCATACACATATATTTCTGACTCTTTTTGACATACTTTTAGAGGACACTGAAAAGTGTCAGACTGGAAACCTGGAAACTTTTGTTTTGCTCCTCTTCAAGGCAGACATACAGTGTTTTCAATCAATATCTTTTAAGGGCACTGCTGCACTAGTCCTGCAGTGCTTCTCAGCTGGTTTTGCTTCAAGACCTAGATTTCACATGGACATTTGGCAACCAAAATATCCTTAAAACCAACCATTAAAATGTAATAATATAACAATGAACTGCACTCAGAATATGTAGAATTATTAATATGTCGTAGACTGAATGGGGAAGTTGGTTGTCGCTATATGTCTTCTAAATGGATAAATGTTCTTGGCTGCCAGTATTTCTATAACTAAACTAATTATGGTCAGTACAAACCATTATTTCATGTATTTTGGAATGTATTATACCTTGTGTAGTTCATGAAAAAAATCTTGTCCATTTCAAAGCGTATTTATTTTGCTATAAACGGTGATATAGTACACACTACTCTAAGCACACACTATTTTCAGTGGAAACATGTTGACCTGTTCACTTTGAGACAGTATAACAGTATATACAGTGGGTACGGAAAGTATTCAGACCCCCTTAAATTTTTCACTCTTTGTTATATTGCAGCCATTTGCTAAAATCATTTAAGTTAATTTTTTTTCCTCATTAATGTACACACAGTTTAAGGGGGTCTGAATACTTTCCGTACCCACTGTATGTGCTGTTTTATATTCACTGGGTTAATGTAATGTAATGTGTTTATCTTACAAATATTGTGGTATTGTGGATGACAACACACTGCTGCCTTCATGTGTGCCTTAAATTTCCTGCAGACAACACTTGGATTGTTGTCGCAGTCTGATATAAACAGATTCAGGGTTTGTCAGGAGTTAAAATTCAAGTCTTTGTGACTGTGCTGAAGGACTGCTAATTGTTTAGGCAATCATGAAACAAAGCTCATGTGTGCCAGAAACCTACGTGGTGGTTTGCCGTCAGGATGTGTGGAAGTCGTGTATGAGGTGATGAGAATATGTAAACACGCCAGTTAATTCTGTACTTTTTCTCAAGATCTTTCCAAGTCATTTGGCAAATACAATGAAGTGCTCCAATTCTCCTGCAGGGGTCACTGTGCTCTATTTTTACACTTCTCCCACTACGCTCAATAAATGGACATTTAGCTTTAAAAAACACACAATCACACTCTTTCCACTCAACACTTCTCGTCGATTGTGCTGATTATGTGCCCCATTGACCTAACTCTCGGCCATGATCAACGTTATCAAGAAGCGCTTATAGGGAAAGTGTATTTCCTAGCGGAGCGATTGAAGGGACAGTTTTGAGGTCACAGACGTACGCCTGCTGGGAACATGCTTATTGAGCTTTTCATTTTGTATTATTATCTTAACTTGTGTAACTTGAAGCACAGAATTCTTTAAACAGGGTTAACCTAAGGCCAAGGATTGTTTGTATGCTGTAGTTTATGGAAAACTGAGGGGTTTTTTTTTTATTTACTTCAAATGTTTGGATGGAATAAATCAACAAATATCTATATGAAGTAAATATGTGGTGTTGTGTGAGTTAGCTTACTCGTTGAAGACGAGGTCAGGGGCGAAGTACAGCATTTGGGCGTTGGTGTGTTTGTAGGATCTCCAGCTGAGGGAGAAGGAGGAGAGACACATCCAGGAATACTGGATCAGCGTGATTTGGTCCTCAATAGGTAGACTGCGGAAACCTGGGGAAAAAAAATAAAGGGCAAGTTAACACAGAGCAAAGAGGCATGACTTGCCCTGAAGCAGAGCTAAAACTAAGAAATAAAATAGATCTTGCTATTCTGGGCTTTTTTGTCACTATGAAGATATATTTGTTATATGGCAAGAGCTGCATTATGATTCTTCAAAAAAATTCCACTCATAATATAATATACAGGTGCATCTCAATAAATTAGAATGTCGTGGAAAAGTTAATTTATTTCAGTAATTCAACTCAAATTGTGAAACTTTTTTCCACGACATTCTAATTTATTGAGATGCACCTGTATATGGTAAAGGTGAGAAATGAATGATATGAATGTTAAAAAAAAACATGAAATATGCATACAAGAAATGGATGCAGATAGTAACATTGTTTGGAAAATGCAAGTTAAGTTTTAATCTTATTTACTTCTTTAGTTCATGTAATGCGTGTGGCCATTGTGAACCTAACAGTTTGCGGTTGATTCCTAGAGTGGCACAAATTCGTTCACAAATGAAAAAGTCTTGCAGTGCAGTCAGCACAATCAGGTTTACATGAATCACAGAAGGTTTCCATTCATTGTCCTGTTGTCAGAGAGAGTTAGCAATACAGCAGACTGGATTCTTGCCAAAACTCACATTGAGGGCTGTAAAGTCACCCACAAGCTATAATATAAGCCACATGAGGACACACTATAAACTTATCGGTGAAGCAGAGGCTATTTTTGGCTTGTCTGCAATACACAAATTCACTATTGACTGTAATGTGTCACACCGTTAACTTAAAATCTCTTGTGTACAATAGCTTTATCATTTCTAGGCAATCTCTGAGCGTCCCTTGTGTTCTCTTTTGTTATAAATAATAATTTCCCCACATTATCCCTTTGGAAACTGGTCCACATGTTGGTGAAACTAGTGAAATTATTGTCAATGTAACTTGCACAAACTTACAGAACTACAAAACTTAAAGTGTTTAAATACATCCTATTTTTCCCATCAAACACTCGTCTGAATTTTGTCACCTGTTTTTGACTCCTAAAATGGTTTAAAATCACATGACAAACACAGAGCAATGTGGACATAACAGAACAAAATAACTAATAATTAAACATCTGCAAGTCATCACTTGTAGATTGACTGAGCGTGTGATGCATTGACTGCCCAAAGCCTGCCTGGAAAGTCTTTGAAACTCGGTGAGCCAGTTTGCCCTGTTGTGTTTTCAGCCTTCTATTTTTATATCCGGATATAGCAAGGAGACACCCTGGTATCAAATAATTGCAATACAGCAAGTGACCGTCTTGTTGCAAGGTACCTTGAAAACTTAATTTGGAATGAAAAAAACAGATTTTTCCAAAATTATAATTAACTACTAAACATTGTATGGGATTTTTAGTTTATAATACAGTAACATATGCTAGCAATTCTCAGTTAATCAATTAATGTTACTACAGACACAGTGAACCTCTGATTCTTCTATATGATGAGCCAACTTACTTTGGAAGCTTGTGGACTTAAATAAATAATAAACATAATAAATGCAGTTCTTTCCAGCGTTCTGTTCGTCAGAGAATCCTAAAAAATTATCATGATTTCCATGTTTTTTTTAAGAAGCAGAACTGTTTTCAACATTCAAATATTAAGAAATGTTTTTTTTTTTTTTTTCGAGTTGCAAATCATCATATTAGAATGATTTCTGAAGAATCACGTGACACTGAAGACTGATGTAATGATGCTGAAAATTCAGCTTTGCATCACAGGAATAAAGTACATTTTAAAATATTTAAAATAGAAAAAAAGTTATTTTAAATTGCAATAATATTTCAAAATATAGCAGTTTTCACTATTTTTGATCAAGTCCATTCAGCCTTGTTGAACACAGAGATATAGTATGTTAAAGGGATAGTTCACCCAAAAATGAAAAATCTGTCATTAATTACTCGCCCTCATGTCGTTCCAAACCTGTAAGACCTTTGTTCATCTTCGTAACACAAATTAAGATATCTTTGATGAAATCCGAGAGCTTTCTGACCCTGCCATAGACAGCACAAGACGTTCACAAGAGTGCCACGACACATGGACATTTTTATCAATGTCCTTACTACGTTTCTGGGCCTTGAACATGTCAGTTGCATTGCTGTCTATGCAGGGTCAGAAAGCTCTTGGATTTCATCAAAAATATCTTCACTTGTGTTCTGAAGATGAATGAAGAAGGTCTTTGGAACGACATGAGGGTGAGTAATTTATGACAGAATGTTCATTTTTCGGTGAACTATTCCTTTAGCATAAAGTGTCAATGCTTGAAAAAGCATGAATAGTTAGGTGTGGGCTGAAGACACAGATCTTATGATCCCGAACACAATTATAGAAAATTATATTATAATTATAATTATAATTATAATTATATAGACCCTACTATACCAATGCAACCGACAGGTCAAGGATTGTATCAATATGACAGCATAGTTTCTAAGTACATTTCAGAGATCAACAGCTCAACTAATACTTGACCTTGAATTACAAAAAAGTTCAAAATCTGGAGAAAATTTCCCTGCCTTTTGAATATGCAGGAGACGGAACCTTAGAAACAAATTTGCCTTGGAAGTATACCTGGAAGTACTTTGGCCCACTTGACCACTCGGATCATCTGTTTTCCGGCGAGGTGGTTGAGGCTGGTGAGCAGGTGGTCGGTTGTGTCGGGCTGTGTGTTGTCATAGCCCGCGAACACCACTTCAGGCTCTATGAGCTCCAGGACGCTACACACGGACGGTGACAGAAACGGTGCTACCGTGGGGACGTGGGGGACAAGAGCATTGGCTGAGCTCAACTCTTTCTCCGAGGTCAGAAACGGAGGCCCGTCCTTTGAGTTCTGCAGGGAGGAATCCTCGCTAACGCTCTTCATCTTCCCCAACTTCTTGGATTTCCGTGCTGAGAAATAACAAACATATATTATTAAAGCTGTTCGCTTGAGCAGCCTGATCCATTTTATGAATAATTACAATTTATGTTAAACATTGAAGGTCTTACAGTGATTTATAAGAGAGATAAATAATTTGAAATGAACAAGGTATTAATGAAAAGACCCCCAGTGTAGTCTTCAAGCAGTGTTCCTACAGTTTTTCATATCTGAAATGAGCTGGAGCTGATAGAAGTAATTATTCAAATAGAGATGGATCTTATAGCAGGGATCACAGTTTAAATCCCTGCTGTATAGATGTGACTTCTTATGTGGTTCGGGAGGATGCTCTTAATTGGCTGTGTTAGTGTTCCAATTTGATATTAATTGCAAGATTCCTGTGCCAGCAGGTTTATATCACATCAGTAAGTGAGACTGAAGGTGGCATATGTGCTAGTCCCAGTAAATGCTCAG